TGAAATTAGACGTATGAATGCAAACTTTAAGCATATTTACCTCATAAGTCGGTTTCAAGTTTTACACATGATTTTATAACAATTAGTATGAGAGTTGGTCATCAAGTCGAGTATGTGAGTGATGAAACGCATCATGAATTGTGCCTCTTTGTGGTCAAGTCACTGAAAGAGCGACATACACAATAGATGAAAATAATTTAATATTATGTTACTATTTCATTGAATCCTACTAGACAAGTGACACCACCAAAGAGAATTAAATATAAAATTAGATGTATATAAATGAATTCTTACACACTTTTTTTTTTATAACCCCAATTATAAAAACAAATTCTGCTCATGAGTTGATAGGCTACAGCAACTTCGACATATCAAATCTTTTAAGTAACATCTTTTTGTGGCTGGCAAACCTTATATTCTGGCTAGTAAAGTAGCTGTCACTATGTAAACTTTAAGAAAACTCATTGTATAAAGTAAATTACGAATTACTATAGAAGTCTTAACTTAAAAAAATAGTAGACTAATCAAACATTCAATAACAAAGCTATTTAGCCAAAAATAGCATTGTTCTTTCTAGTAAGACATGGTGGCATACTTCTTCAAGGATAACGCCCACAACAATAGTACCACATATTTTGATTTGATGCATTTGCAAGATGCAACCATTGATAGTAGAAATTATAAAGTAAAATAAATTTTTTTTACACGAGACACATTTTTATTAGATAAAAATTAAAAAAATGGTATCAAAAAAATTAATTTTAGATACCATAATCAGAACTATTTCTTGATCGAAATAGAGCAATGTCCCCCACTCAAGACTATTTACTTCTAGGATAAATATTGGGGTGTAAGGGTTATACCATGATGACGGGGTGTAACTGTTATATATATTTAATGTTTTCTCCATATACGGACATTTCTGAAAGGTACTTGCTACATGGTATATGTTATTATGGCAATATTAGGACTCCCCCGAATGACTAGGCTCCCATTTTATAGAGGTTTAATAAGTCTAATATTTAAATAAATTATATATTTATATATATTTAATTAAGTTCAATTTCATTTTAGTATCTCAAAAAAAATAAAATTTAGAGTTTTTAAATGTGATTTGAGTTTGCTGAGCATTTATTTATGTTGTTAATGTTGGAAGCATAAAATATCATTTGAGTCTATGATATTTAGTTTAAGTTTAATTAATTATAATTTTTTTTACTTTCATTGATTATATTAACATTATATCTAGTAAAATTTTTCGAAGAAACATGTTAACAAAACTTGAATACAAAAATCTAATAGTTTTTTTTGTTTCTCAAAAGGCAATAATATTTTANTATCTAGTAAAATTTTTCGAAGAAACATGTTAACAAAACTTGAATACAAAAATCTAATAGTTTTTTTTGTTTCTCAAAAGGCAATAATATTTTATAATAATTTAAATTTTATTTTAAAAAGTTAGTAGAACCTCCTTTAAATTTTCACTGGACCCATTTTATATCGAGTCGCCCCAGATATAGGAATCGTTTCATGAGCCTTTATTGATGTATTTATTTGAGTTGATCCAATGGGTCAAATCGGCTTGCGGATGTCACAAGCAGACATTGAGCGTACGTGATTATATGNTTTGAGTTGATCCAATGGGTCAAATCGGCTTGCGGATGTCACAAGCAGACATTGAGCGTACGTGATTATATGATCAAGTTCGATGCAAACATCCTTCATATTTATTGCCTTATTCTTTTCGGATTTGGTCAGCAATGGCTACCTTAAGTGGGCATTAAAGAATGGTGCAAGTTTGACAAACTATGTAGAATTTTCTGTGCCACGCTATAGACTATTACATACAATCATATTCACAATCAGTTTAGGCTTAGGTAACATCAAAACACATAGGCTGCGCGAGCATGCGTACACGTGTGTTCACACATTGGGAGGGAATTTCCCGGCAAAGATAGGGCCAATAAGGTGTATAGATTAGGATTCAAATCCCGTCACCAACATTTACCAGTTAATTCTCTCTCCCTCTCTCTCACACATACACCATAAGAAACAAGAGAGAGGACCAAAAAATAAACTACCATTGAGCATGCACAAAATAAAGTACTGCTAGGTAGGAAGAATCCATTGTATATTATAAAGAGGAGTTGCTTAAGGTATCAAATTTTTTTTTTTTTTGGGTATTATACATTCATTTATTATAATTCTAGTTATTTTTATTACATTTGTTGATATTTTTACTATTGTTATGCTACCCGAAAAAATAGTAAAAATAGTTACCACAATAGTGATAAAAAAAATACAAATATGATAAAAATTAGGGATGTAACGCGGACAGATTGGACGGGTTAAGAGGTCAACTCTAGATATATAATCTTCAATTCTAATCCTAATTTTATCTCAACCCGAGGTACTCAACTTGAGTACTACCCGAGTTTAATTCGAGTTACTTAATTCGGACTGATTTCGGTTTAAAATCGAGTTGGAGTTGAGTTATTTAATTTGGGTTGATTTTTTGAAATATAGATTTGATTTTTTCAAGTGGAGATTTATTTTTTTCAAGTGATCTGAGATGAAGGGTGATACGCAGATGAAGAGAGACAGAGAGAGTGAAAGAGAGAGGCTGAGAGTCTAAAACGACGCAGACGAGTGATGATTGAGAAAAAGAGTCTGAAAGAGGGAAGAGTGACAAGTGAAAAAGGGATTTGAGGGTGATGAAGGCGTAGAAGTGAATACTTGAAGTAAAGTGAAAGTCTAAACTCTAAAAAGTGAAGATAAATACTAATTATAGTTAAATATATTTATATATTTATGTATATTCGGGTTGAACCCAACAACCTGAGGCTTGCCAAAATTTAATTCGGGTTGAAATTTATTTGCCCAGACCCAACTCAAGTATTAAAAATTTTAACTCAAGCCTTATTTTTTTCGGATTGAGTTCGGGTTAAATTTGGGTTGACCCGTCTAACCCTAGTAAAAATACTTAAAACGGTGATGAAAATACCCATAAAAATTTTAAATCACTCAAAAAAGTGATAAATTTTTTGAATGTAAAATAACTCAAAAAATTATTTTATCTGTCGGTAGCATAGTCTAATTTCATAAAAGATAACTCTTGGTGCTTGTTTCTTCCATTCTTATTAAATCATTAGATTGATTGCAGTGACTACTTTAAATCTTGCTCTAATACAGCTGTCTACGTCATAACTAACGTAAAAGTTACGTAATAATAGTTATTTGATCTTCAATGTTGGCCCTAGCCAATAGCCACGTTGTCCCCTTTGCTCCCCTTCTTTGGCAAAAGACAATTTGCAAGTGTCTATTCTTCTCTATTCTCTGGCCTCTGAGCTTTAATGGGAAATGTTTTATCAAAAGAAAGAGTAAGAGAAAATATCTGAACCGGATTTGGCTTTCAATTGAAAAAGACAAAATTATAGTATTGAAAAATAATTTTATGAAATTATAATACAAATGTTTATTATCTGTTGATTACACATGTCTTGGTTTATTTGTGGTCATTGATCGATTAAATAGTAAAATAAAATAAAATATAAAAATTAATAACTTCACACATAGTTACGTTCTCTATTGACGGAAAAATGAGGTACGATATTAGTTCTCGAATCGGAGAAAAAAAAATTTCACTGAATTATACAAATCACATATCAGTGTAGTGACGTAAAAACACTTAATGAAAAATTGTCGCAACACTAACTTATAGATATATAAGTTATGTTTTTAAAAGATATTATGGGAAAGTGACATATAATAGACATTCATTGAAAATATATAATATTTTATTAATCATGTATAATATATGATACTAACACGTAGTGTGTTATAGTGAAAAATTTCTGTCCCATCCTCCAGTCACCCACTGACTTCTCTTGCCCCTTTTCGTTTTTTGCCACTAAGTCAGCTTAAGGTGGGCTCACCCCCCTTTTGAAGAGAGCTTCAAGTCAATTGTGACTGTTGTCTCAGGCCAGAAATGAGTTGCCCATGACCCTATCAAATTCCTAATGGTGTGGCAGTTGAGGAATGTACCTAGCTTGAGCAATGGTCAAAAGTTTAGCTGAATTATCATAGTTTTATCCTTAAATATGAGGGATAAATATTAAACAACACTTTTTTTTTTTTTTGGAACTGGTAATATTAGACAAGACTGATTACCTATGATTGACACCCATGTTCCTTGGATTTGTGCAACAATCAACAAAAATCCATGCATGTGCAAAACAGAATGGTTTTCTTAGGCATTCTAATTACAATAAGCTACCCATCCTACGCCAGTTTTCATTTGCCTCCTATTGAATACAAATTATATTTAACAACACCCCCATGAACAATTCAATCATAACCACTAACCCCACCACAATTATTAGACATTTTCAGTAATCACTTCATCACTTAATAGCTACAACTACTTTCCATCTGGTTGTTGAGATGAAAAAAGTAAAACCCCCCACCAAAACATGCCAAAAGATTATTAAAAACAACAATTTGTAAATTTAGTTGTCTTGGATTTGAATTTTGACAAATTGTCAGATTATAAAAAATTTATCCACCATAATTTTTAGTCTTAGTATAAATAATCTGTCTTTGATCAGATTGAGAGGAAATTACTCGAGATACGTGTAACCTAAACTTATCCGAACAACTGTTAAACTTAAAAAAAAACAAAGATTGTAAATTTAAATTTAAGCCCCAATTTTGAATTTTAAAATCCCAATCTAAATCCAAATCCAAATTCAAATTACACATCCAACAAGGTGGCGACATGGTTGATGAGAATTTGCAACCCAGCCATAACCTTATTATTTAACAATTACAATCACAATATTTTGTAACTGCAAAAAACACAATCACAAAGATAATTATTAGTGGGAATTAATGTTATATTATATACTTTGCCATAACCTTATTAGTTAATAATTACAATCAGATTATATTAATAGAAAGAGTTCTATTTTATTGATTGATACGAAATTAATAAACAAAATTCAACCTCTGTACAAAGGCGACCGTTCTTGAACGACCTTCGACACCTTGGAATGACGGAAAACCTTCATCGGACTCGGAAAATGCCATCCCTTTCCTTTAGTCCGCGACGAAGATCTGAAGTCGCCGGAACCAAAACCTGACGTCACAGGGACTGCCACCGATCTCGATCTCATCATCATCCTCGCCCGCTCATACTCGTTGTCAATTACGACCTCGGTACTTTTCATTTCTGAATTTTCTTTATCTTCTTCTTCTTCGCTTCTCTTGCTCTTATTCGCTTTGAACACACTCCAAAACGACGACGCTCTGTTCCTACTCCCCGGAGGCGAATTTTTCCCCTCGCCAGATACAAAATCTCCGGCGAAACGTGATCTTGATCGGAGGAACGGAATCGCCAAAGATCTTGATCTCCGAAAAGACGGTTCGCTGTCGATAAGCTTTGATACTTTCCCGACGTCGCCAACTCCGGAATTGGAGGAGCCGCCTCTAGATGAGAAGAGAGAGAAGGAAGAGGAAGAAGAAGAAGACGAAGACGATGTGGGGCAGCATGCACAGGGGCGCACGTTAGCACAGTCGGGACAGAGACTACCCAACCGTTCCCGGAGGCAAATTGGGCAAATACCGCTCCTCCGGCGCTTGGAAGGGTGTTTTGGACATTTCCACACCTCTTCTTCGTCTATGTATAACGCCATCGCAAGATTCGCAACCCTCTCTCTAAGTTGTTAAATCTTTTTGTTGAAAGTTCTCTTTGTTGTTGCTCTCTCTGTCTCTCTATTTTCTCTCTCTCTGTCTCTCCCTCTCTCTCTCTCTCTCTCTTTCTCTCTCTGTATCGGTAAGCGTTTCGCATGGCGGTTGTTCTTATAAAGGAAGGCGTTTGGGGGTGGGGAACAAGTTAACCATGGTTAAGTATTTTTTATTTAGATTTTTTGTGACTTGCCATTGTAATATACTAAAATCATTTTGGCGTGTGAAATAGTAAACGTTGGTGGACGAAACGGCGTGTTCGGTTTTGTAACTTTATAAATTATTCTTACTTTCATTTTTCTTTTATTTATGACCAATACAATTTGAATTTAATTTATTCATAATTATTCGATTGTTAATAGATCTTGTATTTATTATTAACATTCACAGTTAATTCAATAATTATAATTATTTAAGTCAATAAATTAGATTTAAGTATTATTATTATTTATTTATATTCAAGGACCGATAAAAAGAAAGTAAAATATAAATTAATGTAGACTATAATTTTTTGATGAACTGAAATTTTAATCAAGGTAACCAAATTTGACTATACCCAACTATTTTACTCTTTGTTTTATAGTAAAAATTACGCATTAAATAAATTCTTAAAAGTCTGGTATTGATTTTTCTTTTTTAGTATGATATTAAAAAAAAAACCCTAACGAATGCTAAGTTTTAACCCCCAAAAATATAATAAGTCGATATAATAAATGAGCATACCCAAAAAATTAATAAATGCTACCTAAAAGATAGTAATACATGACGGTTTTATATGGTAATTGTGAGCTATGAAATGCCAAGTGTCTACATGTATCCAAGAAAGAGAGATGCATTTCACACTTGGAATTGACTGATCATAAAAGATATGGGCCCAGAAAAAATTAGAGTATAGTTCTTTTACTCAAAAAGTAGGAGCGATCTGCATGTTTATTGACCATTGGATCTGTGGAATTTGTTGATTTTTGATTTAAAAAAGAAGAAATTTGACCGAATCAGGTTTTTTTTTATTTCGTGGCCCCCGGGGGGTGGTTTTACATTGTAGGTACGTAGATAGATGTTCAAGAGTCAAAACTCTCATCTTGTTTTGGTTATGAATGTGGGTGGGAGTGGGACTCGGACTTACATTTCTGGGCCCCACAGGGCTATGGGACATCCAAAAATTGATATATATTATTTAAAGATGAGGACACTAATGTTGACCATCACCCTTACTTTTCTGTTATTTTTAAAGTGGTTTTTGAGAGAGATCATAGAACTACGTCCCTCGATGGACCAGATTTCACTCGAAATTTAAATTCATTTAATTTGATATAGACTAATTAGCTATTGTTTTTACGTGAAGGCACAAAATAATAAAAAATAAAAAATAAAAAATATATTTATATTCATATCTAAAATTAAATCACAAATATAAAAAAAAATAAAAATTAATTATATTCAATATAAATGTGTTAAGCAGCACCCTTATTTTTTTTAATCTGTTAAATTGATGAGTTTTTTTTAATCAAAATATTATCATTGTCTGTTATACAAATTCAAAATGTTACACTACACAATTGATATTAATGAAAAATTTAAACCATTTAATTATTATGTTAGAGAAAATCTTGTGATCCAAGTCGGCCGTAATCTTTGACTCTCTAGGAGGAAAAATATTAAAAGAAAAAAATGTTAATTTCCTGACCGTTAGATAAATAAATTTGAGACCGTAAGATATGTTTCAAAATCAGTCATAATCGTTGACTTTTGGGGGGGGGAATATTAAGGAAAGCAATTGTAATTTTTTGACCGTTAAATGAATAAATTTGAGACTGTAAGATCAATTTATTGATCCTGCTCTGTTTTATATTATCGATATAATATGACAATATATTTCACCAACTTTTGTGAGCTGACGAGTGAAGACACTGTTGGGTTGCCTCTGGCTAGATATTTGATTATTTTACCATTTCATGTTGACCAAAAATTTTGGAAAAAAAAAAAAAAAAACCTGCGATGCAACAAATCACTCATCAGTGCTAAACGGATACATCATTCCGTAGACTTTATTCAGACTACTTGAGCATTATTCAGTACCTAATCTTTGTTAACCCTTGTAATTAAAATAATTAACAATTTGCCATGATTTGTATACCAGACATTGTACTTAGAATTTGAACCCAAATTTCAGTCCCAATTATAACCCGCATCCAATAATTTAAGCATGAGTAATTTTAGTTTTAAAGGATTGAAGAAGAGGTCGATTTAAGAGTGAACTCGGTTTAAAGGAGAGAAAAGTTACTGTTCAAACAACGGTTGAATAGTGAGGATTTAGAAAAACCATAAGAGGTCTATGGCTACCTAAGTTAGAATATAGTTTCGCTCATAAAACGAATAGCATTAGACGACTATTGTCATGCATTTTTTTTTTTTTTTTATGTGTGAAATCTCTTTTCTTTTTTTTCTTAACATTTTGCTTGAAATATCGTTTACTTTGAAAAAATTTGAGAAAAAAATAAGGGAAGTGTTGGAATTTAACTCAAACTCTCTGATTGTCCTGAATGAGAGTTTATTGGGTAATCAATATGAGAATTATTTATAGAATATGATTATATTGGAGGAGTTTTAGTATACCATGAATAAGTATAGGGGTAATAATCGAGCTGAATTCTAAC